AAATAAGAAACTTGGTAATTCATTTTAGTTGGAATCTTGTTGCAGCAGCCATTGCTGCATTTTTGGGAGGTGTAGCATGCTGCACTTTGGGTCCTGAAAGCTTTGATGAATTGGTGTTAGAAACTAACAGATAAAATGGAAGGTAGAAAATTCAGAGCTTAAAATGGAGGCAACAGTTTAGGGAAGGAAAAAGTGGACATCGGAAAGCTACCTCCAAGCTTTAGTCTTTTATTTTTTAATAATTAAAGTAATTAAACTTAAAATTAAATTTGGGCCTAAAAATTAAAGGTGAAATTTTCAAATTTTGAACTTTAAATTTTGTTCTGAAAATTTAGATTTTAAGCTCATATCATTTGGTTTCAAATTAACCCAAAATAAATTGAATTGGGTTTTGATTTACTAGAAATGGTCGAAAAACGATTAATTTAAAACAAATTTAAATGAATTTAATTCAATTTAAATATTTGAATTAATTCATATAAAAAAGTTTAAATTAAATATAAAATTAAATATATTTAAATCGATTTAAATAAAATTAAATGTTTACAATTTTATTCTGAAATTTATTGACAAGCTATCAGGATATGCTCATGATACGTACTCGTTGGACACTTTGTTTCTCTATAATCAGCCTAAAAGCTGCAAAAAAATTAGAGTACATTATGTAAAATTTACAATATATTTGAGAGTCAATTATATTTTTTGGTATTTTGAAACTGTAAGAATTCGATCTCTAGTAATTAAAACCAAGCATTCAGCACTCTGCAAATAAAGGGGATGATTGTCGGTTAAATGCCAGTCATTTGCTATATAGGCGATAGTAGCTTTCATTGACTAAATTTAAATTACACGAATAAAAGGTTAAGAAAGAGAATTAAGCAATTTATTCAATCAAATAACAGTGTCCTAAACCATAACTGTCAATCCTCTAAATGCAAACAAATAATCTAAATAATAAATCTAAAGGAAAAATCCTTTTTTTTTTTTGGAACACTGAATCTCAATCCCTTAAAGCCTAAGCTATTAAACAGAAATACTCCTTCTGTAATTTATATATCATGCGACAGAATATTATAAAACTTATTCCACAAAAAAAAAAAAAAAAACCTATGAATGGTGTTTTAACTTAATTGGTAACTTTCAACTGAATATTCTATTGGGCAAAAACTCTAGTAAAATTCATTAAAAGTCATCATCAAAGTCATCTATGCGTCTGTTAACTCAATCAGATTAATCTAGCCGCAACAACACAACAAATGCACGATCTATTTGACATGAAAAGAATTATCCATTTTGGTATTGGTGGTGATATAAATAGTTCCATGTCCATTGGAGATGTTACCATTCCTAAGCAAGTTGCTCATAATGGCATCTGGGATTTGGGATTTGCTCATACTGTCAAAGAGGATGTCAACCTATCAAATTACTGTGATGGTCAGAACCCACTAGTTGTGCACCATCTGATATTGGGAAGGCCAAGAACTCCTTTTGCCAGTGGTCTTCCGCTTGCCAGGATACCTTAGATTCAATGTGGACGGCTCCGCAAAAGGAAAACCTGGTCCCGCTAGGTGTGGCGGCGTCCTTGCCATGTTTTCGGGCCTGGTTGGTATCTGGGATTCAAACGTTGCTGAATTTTTGGAAATTAAAATGCCTCTAGAGGTGTTCACAAAGACGGAGTGGTCTCACAAGATGAGTCTGATTCAAAGTTTATTTTTAAGTGGGACTCAAACGAATCTGTTCGACCATTGAGGCTATAAGATGTGTTCTTGGAGATTGATTCTTTGACCACAAAGCTGACAGAATTTAAACTGCTCAATATCTTCCGCGAAGTAAACGAGATGGCTGACGCACTGACAAAATCGAGGGTGGAGTAATATGATAGGTTCATGGTCTGGTGGCAGCTTCATTGGTGCTAAGGTGTTTCAATTTACGAACTTACATTTCGTATCAGGCGAAGGTCTATTGGGACAAGTTATTCCCTACATGTCTTTCTCATTACTATATGAATAAAACAAAACCTGATTTAGCCCAAAAAAAATATCAACCTATTTTCCGTCTTCTACAAGTTTCTTGAACATGATGGCGGCTAGCTATATTAATCATTTTCTTAACACAGATGGGAACGTGGATTCTGCTGATCTACCGAAAGGAAATGGAACTAATCTCTCAGGCGTCTTGGATATACTAAAAAACAATTTTTACTCATTTTTATTAGAAAGCGTACATATTACCTAACAGTAGCATATAATATAAATTGTAAAAATTATTACAATTAATTTATAAAACATTATGAGATAAGTCATATATAATTAAAAAATTTATCAAATTTAATTTCAAATGCATTGAAAAGATTTTAATTTCGAATTTTATATATTAAAATATATTTATTTTAGTGAAAAGAGTGCATGTTACTAATATTAGTTAATTATTTTAGTATAAATGATTTAAAAAAAGATTAATTAATTTTTGATATGTTGAAATAATTTTAAATAGATAATTAATTATTTTTAAAGGAAAACTAAATAATGAAATAAATAAATAAATAAAATTTCATACATTTTACTTATTTTCAAACTTCTATATATATGTATATATATTTTTAAATAAGATTTTATTTATTTATTTTCAAGACAATATTGCATCTCCGTCTCAGGGTATAACATATATAAATATTTTGTCTTATGTTATTTGTATAAGATTTTTTATATATTAATATTTTTATTTAAAATATTCTCACGAAGTTAATGGTATTAAAACTAAACTTTTATTTATTTTGATATTTTTCTAGTTGGGTTTCATATGGAAGGAAAAATGGCTTGGCTCAATATTTTTTGAGCCTAAGAAGGATTTTGCGGCCCACTAGTACGCTTTGGGATCAGATCCGTCAAAGTGGTAAAATTGTCAATTCATAATGCCTGATGCCTTCTAAAACCCAAACGGGACTCCGAGTTGATATAACATTGTATCTCAAGTCTGGCAGCTGTTTAGCCGAATCCAGAGACTGCAGGAGCTTAAGCAGCAATGGGTACCCCATTTTCTTTAGCTTTTCAAATCTAACATTCATGATTTAATAGCTAGCTGGCTCTTATTTTCTCTATTGTTTTTCGTTAATGGGAGGATTTAAATAAGGATCTGTTATTTGTTTATGTAGAGTGATGGTTTTCTCTGCTTGATTTTTTTTTTCCTTTATTTGATTAAATCTAGAAACTTATTGAAGGATTGGTTCTGACTTATTATTAGTTCTCATCTTTTTTATATATTTTATTACTATATTTGCCACATTAAAAATTAGATGGTAAGTGGTAGAAATGGGCTTTTACTTGACTGGAAGTCTTTTTAAATGAAAGGGTATATTTGATTGCTTTTTATAAATATATTTTGATGGATCATTGTTTTGGCATTTTGGGTTCTGATTTGTGATGATTTTGCTTTTGGTGGGTTTTTTTGGGAAAATATGGGCTTACAAGTACGTGTCAGACTCAGAGCTATGGAGGAAGAAGCAATCTGATGTGATGAGGCTCTTGCAGAGGGTCAGGTGTAGGGAGTACCACCAGCACCCTTCCATTGTTCGAGTTAACCACCCAACTCGCCCTGACAAGGCTCGTCGCTTGGGATAGAAAGCCAAGCAGGTAAGCTGATTCATTTTTTCTTTGATATTGCTTTCTTCCTCTGCATTTTTATGAGGTTTGGTATTTTATCTTTTAATTTTCCGGCTTATCCTATTTGTTTTATTGCAGTTGTAACATATTTTAGTTATATGATTATCCTTTGGTCTGAAAAACTGCATTGCAAAAATGTTTATGGCCGGACTTACTTTAAATGTGAGACGACTCATATGTTGCTAATATAGTTGTAATATATATATATATAATTATATTTACAAATAAAATAATAAATTAAATGATTTTATGATTGGCAACAATAAAATTGTTATGAAAGGTATAAAGAAATTTCAACAGTAATGTAACAATAATACGAAAGGTATAAAGAAATTTCAAACAGTATTCATGTAACAATAATAGTTGTTATAATTAATTAAATTGGTTGTATTAAAAATTTACTGCTACAAAATTTATTGTTATAATTAAAAAATTATTGCAAAAATAATTTTATCAACGACAATAGTAGATATGTAAAAGATTTTTCAATGATTATAATCGTTGTTAAAGTTATTTATTGAAATGACAAAAATCATTATGCTAAACGTAATTAGCAACGATATGTGATTATGTTGCAAAATAAGTTTTTGTATTCGAAATTTATGGTTGTTAAAATAAAATTAAAGCAAAAACATTTAATCGTTACAAAATATTTTATGTAACTAAAATAATATTAATATGTAAGTTTTTATAGTCAAATTTTATGGTTGCAAAATTAAATTTATACAACGTTATTTTGTTGTTGCAAAATTTTATACAATGACATTTTATCATTGTGAAAAAAATGATTTATTTGGCAACAATTAAAAGTCATTGTAATTTTTATTTTTTTGAACAACACTATAAGTTATTGCGTTAATTCTTTATTAACAAGGTTAATAGCAACGATAAAAAATTATTTTGAAAACAATTTTAACAACGATAAATAATTATTTAGCAACGTTTTGGACTGTTATAATATATCAATTTTCTTATAATGCAAACATAATCAAATTAAGCACAAATATTGGAAAGATTGTTCATCACTTCATTAAATAATTAATGGCTAAGTGAGTTAAACTAATAATATATCAATGTTAGATAAAAGAAAATAATTATGCACTACAAAAAAAGTCATTTTTATTGACACTTATAAATGTCAGTGAAAGATTAAAAAAGTGATGATATTACTGTTGCGGGAGTTAAGTGAATGTTGATGAAAACTTTTTGATAGTCAAGTCACCAATGCCAGAATTATAAATGTACTTGCTGATATTATTTTTTTGGTACTTTAAATTACTGTTATAAGTAAATAACTTTTAAATGTAATTTAAAGTGTTGGTAAAGATCACATTTTATTTAAATTTTTATATTATTTAGTGAGCTATATTGACACTTAAAATCATCCTTAAAAGTTTTAGTTTTTTTAAATAATTTTCATATTTCTAATCTTTGTAACCAATAAAATTAAAAAATAATTCATACCAATTAATAGAGAACACAGGTCTGAGAAATGAAAGTCTGCAAGTCACTTTTGCAATTTCTGGCAAAAGAACATTTTTAGATTATTTATTTCCCAAATTTTGCTTTCCTGATAACAGAATAATAATTAACTGACATGTGCAAAACACTTGAAGTATTCAAAGTTTGGTTAAACTCAGACAGAGACCTCACAAATTTTATATCAGTAAAGTGACAATATCATGATTCATAAGTATTAAAATCAGCAAAATTCACTAGCAATGTCAATGTCTACAAGCTATTAAGAACATCAGGTAACCATCAAAGGCAAATTGCGTCCTGATACCAATCCCATTACAATTACCAAAACTACCCAAACATCAAAAAGTTGTCAAATTACCAATTATTATCAATAATGCAATAGCATCATCCTCAAAGCTTCCATATTTCTTTAGTTATTGGCACATAGTAATCCCAATGAATTCGATGCATCTGAAACCTGCAATATAATACAATTTCTGGATCAGTTCAATCATAAGGACCACCTCATATTAGTAAAGTAAGGGGTTTTTTTTGTTGTTTTAGCCAATATTCTTCTACAAATGAATAGTAAGGCCTATAGAGCTGAACAGCTAAACAAGAGGGGTTTGACAACTGCTAGGAAAAATAATACCACCATGAGTGTAGGTAATTTACTCTATATACTGGCAAGACGTGGTTTTAAATTTTAAGCCAGAACTATAAGTTGAATCTTAAACTTACAGGGTGAAATCCACCTTGGTGTAGAAATTCGAGAGCAGCATGACAAAAGAAACCAAACCTTTCTGCATCTTTTCTGCAACCATAAACACAACCTGTCCAAAAGAATCTGCAAGCAACAATACACCAAAGGATTCTTATGATTATAATTTTTTTTTTTAACAAAGTGAAACATTGTAATTCTTAAAGGTGCTATAGGAGTATAAAAATTACCCGTTTTCTGGCTCCACAAAATAAACTGAAAGGCCTTCCACTTTTCCAAACCAAACTTTAACTTCAGTGCCACCCCAAGAATAGCCTCTTTGGTAATGAATATCCTTCACCTATATCATAGAACATTCATTTGACAGATCTGAAATTATTAAAAAGACAAGTTTGAAAAAAGTAAAGAGATGAATGAATTGTTTTATATCTTTTTTGAATATTAAGATATGAATGAATGAAATCGAGAATCTGATTATATGACAATAAACATCTTTTAAGTAGCATTCCCAAAATTTTCGTCATGTATAGCCCAAATAAAGATGAGGGCAGGGAAGCCTTATATGAAACTTTTGTTTTCTGGAAAACCCAATAAGAAAAGGTTATGTGACAATTTAGTACCGATATCTTATTAAAGGAAAAATGCACTTCAGCCACCTCATGCAAGATAGATAACACCACACGCAAGCTTACAAACAGCATGCCTAGTAAGCAAGAATACAAACCAAAAAAATCCATAATTTAAGGAAATTAAGGCAATCCAGTGAAAACAATTAAGATGAAAAATGTGGCTAAAGTGATGGCAATGAAGTTTACATGGCCAAGGTTCAAGCAGTCATACTTTGGAAGAATGATGTCCACATTGTTGTTTAAATCTTGAACAGCACGCGAGAGACTTGTAACGACATCACCCAGATCTCCAACCTGCAAAGTTATAAAAAAGAAGTAATTGAGAAAAAGAAGGATAATGGAAAATCTTTTGGGTTTTTTCTACATATTCGACCACAAACTGGAAATAATACAACACAGATGTCTATGGTGTTCCATTTCTGTCTGTGGATCAGCATCCTCTCCCCCAACTGTCTCATTTCCAAAACACCTTTCATTAGGAAAAGACATGTCTTTCTGGCCTTCTTTCAGCTTACAGAATTTTCTCTTCATTAAGAGAAAGAATCTGAATGGACTCATAAGCAAAGAAAAACTAGAAAAGAAACCTTGATAGACATCAGGGCAATAAAAAAAGTTTTGAAAACCTAAACTCCCTTAATGTCCAAAAGTTACCTTTACAGTAGGCCCCATCTCAACAGCAATATGCACAATGTTCATCGGTGGCTCTTGCACAATTCCTCCAAAAACAGGTATTCGATAATCCAAACCGCCTTTGTTGTCAAAAGTTCCGGCATCTTCCCTCTCAGAGAATACAAACTCCATATATGCATCCAATGGAACCTTGACTGCAGAGTCACATAAAGTAAGTCTTTAATAGAAAGATTTAATGCAACAAAAGCCAAAAATAAAAAGAACGCCATATGTTACCTAAGGAGATGATATAAAGCAACAATTGATAAGTCATATATGCCTAAAACTTAGGCACAGATTGAATTCCAAATAATTTATTAGTCTGGATCTATAATTCACATTTATTCTCTAGGACCAAAAGAGCTTTCAAGGGGAGTGCGTCGGCACGCAGAAGATGATAAAATGGTGAATGCAAACAGCAGATGACCCAAGAAGCAGTACAATTTCTATTCACTAAAATTTACCATAAAGGATACTGATAGGTGAAATAACTCACAAACTTATTAGAGAGAATATTATTTTAAAAGCAGTTGATTAACTCATTGATCCATGAAACCATACAGACAAAGACAATTAATGCATGCATCAGATAGGAGCTCAGTTATTGCCAAATAATTATGCATCAGAGAAACCTTTATGAAAAGCATTTGTTTGAAAACCATACTTTAGAAACTATTAAAGCAGTCAAAAGTGTATTTTTTGACCAAAGACATCTCTTGGTGAAAAGAAATCAACACAGGACAATTCAATCCATGAAGACCTAAAGTTTGGTTCCCGAGTTACTAAGACAACCTAGTAAGGAAGAAAGCATGAAGCCCACAAGGGGAAATGATGTTCTTAATATCACATTCATTGTACACATTGTGTCATGGTCCCTTAGAAGTCAATTCACAAGATCTGCCAAAAGATTTACCTCACATTATTCCGTTGATTTGATATATTTGTCATCTAAACCTACAAAATTTGCTCAATATACCTTCCTAAGATTGAACTACTTGTTATGATATTTACAAAATTTTTAACTCAAACTCACCCTACGAAGACTATTTAGTCTTTGCAAATTGTACAGTCATAATTCCAGATATAAAAAAACAAGCAATTAAAAATAAATCCACAAAGTTCATTAGTATTTCTGAACTTAATTCTATAAGCACCAAGTCACTTGAATGTTCATGTATTTCTCTCTCTCTCGATGACAAATAATTTTACTAACAAGCCACCACAACACCAATCACAACAACCACAACATTATGATCAAAACCAATGCCGTCCAAGTTAGAAAGTAAGAAACATAGAGAGAAAACTTTTGATTAGAGAAATACGAAATAAGAAAGAATGAGAGACTTAGCAGCATACTAGTGACCCAGAAATCCAACAATATAGTCATAGACACTAAATATATTACTACCATATGTGTTACAAAAGGGGATCTTGACTTCAGGCGAAAGAGGCACACATGTTTATTTGCATTTGTATCCAAGTATATCGTCTTAGAAATTATTGTTTCCTCTTTGTTTGATATCATCACTATTTCTCCACCTATAGAAACCATCATAAGCTTAAAGTGCCATAAGTGATGATCAGTTAAGACAAAGAAAAAAATTGTATCATTTCCAGAAGGAGATTTGACTTCAAAGTTTTTGTCATTATTAACACTAAGAAACAGTAGATTTCTATTAGGAGATTATGAGCTGGTAAGAAGCTCATAATTAAGGAGATCAAACCTTAAAGCCAAAGGGTAGAAAATAAGAGCTTAACAATGTCCTTTATAAAGGTACACAAATGTCATCCAATAACAACAAGGTGAAAAGAAATTGTGCGGACACTACATACACAAAAGTCCACAAATAACCAATTTCATCTAGTATGAGTAACTAATTCATAATTAACACATCATATGTGCAAACCAATCTATACGTTCGAATAATTTTTCAGAAGTAAGCTGCCTTTCAGAAATTATTCATAGTCACCACTCAACAACATACTAAGTTCAAGATTAGTTCACACATTATACCCAATAACAAATCACAAAAAAAAAAAATAAAAAAAAAATAATAATAATAAAATAAAATAAAATAAATTCAAAATGAAAATTAATAAATTAAAACCTACCTTAGATAGATTAGAATTGAGATTGAGCTTGACTGAACATCAAAATCAAGATAAGCTGTATCAAATAAAATTCAACCTCGATCGAAGCAAAAAAAAATTGTTAGTCATTTCGGTCATTACAAAATCAGAATCAAAATGAATAGAAAGAGGAAGTACCTGTTTCGAAACGGCACTGATGAAGAAGATGACAATGATTGAGCTGAAACTAGAGAGGAAAAAGTTAGGGGTTTTAACAAATTAAGGAAAGATTCATTAGATTTTTGTCTCAAAACTGATTTGAAAAACAACAGATGAAAAAACATGATTTGCGGAGAGTGATTAGCTGAAAATCACAGAAATGCAGAGGCTTAGCAGAGTGTGATTCATATATACATAGCTACAAGCAGAGAAAATCAAAATTTCAGCTTGTTTGTAGCAGAGGAAATCGAAGAAATTGTAGCAGAGATTGATAGTGTTGATGGAGAGTGCTGAGAGCGAGAGAGATTAAAAAAATATATAAAAAAAGAGAAATATGAAATATGAAATGAGAGAAAACAACTGAAAAAAAAAAAGACACTTAAATTCGCATTTGTTCAGTTTTAGCATCTATATCATACTATCTATTCTGAAAGATTCCAACATGCATTTTAATATTTGGGATGTGAACTTTAATGGGATTTTGTTTTCCCGTGTACAAATACAATGGATCTCTCTCTTTCAGTCTCACTTAAGAGCTCCATGCAATCACATTTAGAGAAGAAACACCAGTACTTCTTGTATGGACATGATTGAAGGATTTATTCCTACTGAATTCACAAATGACATGCTCCTATATCGTCTGGAAGGACAACTGCAAGTAACACAGAATTTACATGATCAGCCTTCTTTCTTTCTTTCTTTTTTCTATAATTTATATTTTTGAAAATCATTCTCTAACCACAATAAAATGAAGAAAGATGAACCTCGACAAACTTACACTTGCATCTATTATTATTATTCTATCTCAACATGTCAACTAAATTTGGTTGGTAGATAAGATTGAAGACAAAAATCAGAAAAAAAAATTAAAAAAAAATAATGCATATAGTTCACAAATTAAGAACATGTGATAGTACTTTGCATACTTAAATAAGTGTCGACAAGTCGATGATAAGTGACTAATTCCACGACATCTCAAAGGCCTAAGATAACAAAACCATATGAAATCAAATCAATTCAAATTCAATACTGCCTTATATACATTACAGTGTTATTATGACTCAAATATATATATATATATATATATATTATTTGGTTACTAACAAGAACAAGAAAGTTACGGAGATAACCATTGAAAAGAACAAAAAATATTGCTTTTTCTAAAGAGTATTATCTCAGGAATATTTAATGTTATTTGTATGGAAAATGTTTAATTAGTTATCCGAAAAAAAGAAAATATTTTTAATATATATTTGGGATAATTGAAATATAATAATAAATAATTAAAAAAGCGATGAAGGTACCTTCAATATGGACACAAAATACATAGCTGTTCTGCCAATGGCCTGCAAGAAAAATATAAAGTTCAAATGAAAATTGTCTTGAAAGGTAGTTAGAGGCATTCTATGTACTTTTCAATAATCTTAAACTATATACAAACAATTGTGTATCTTACTTTATTAATCCTTCTCCATGTTTTTCAAAAACTCTCTTTTGATATTTTTGAGCATGGAAACAACATCCTTCATATTTATCCTGTTTTCAGGTAAGTCAGATGAACAATCCAAAGCTAACGCCATGATGGACGATATACAATTCACTTTGACAACAAAATATTCATCCTCTTTATGCACTAAACTGGAGTCCGCTACATCAATTATTCCATTAGATAGTGACATTTTCACCCAATGTCTCATACTCATTTCTCCAGCAAAAGATTCATCAGTGGGCCTCTTTCTTGTGAAAATTTCCATTAGTAGAATACCATAACTATAAACATCACTTTTAATAGAAATAATTCCTGCTGATCCATATTCTGCATTTTAAACATAATTGAATAATTAAAAGATATTATATCTTCATAATCATAAAAAAATATGCTTATGTTAGAATATGGAAAAAAATAATAATAAAACATCACCTGGTGCCATGTAGCCAATAGTGGCAAGTGTCATTGTTTGTTTCATAGAATCTTCTTCTCCCAACAATTTGGAAATGCCAAAATCTCCCACATGAGCAACCATGTCTTTGTCTAGTAAGACATTACTTGGTTTTAGGTCACAATGGATTATAGGTGTTGGATGTCCCAAATGGAGGTATTCTAATGCTGATGCAACATCCATCATTATGTTGATTCTTTGCAGGATATCCAAGAAATAATTGTAAGAATATAACCATTTCTCAAGGCTCCCATTAGGCATGAATTCAAGCACTAAGGCTTTGAAGTCAATAGTAGAACAACAACTAATGACCTTAACAAGATTGCGGTGAAAGATATTGCTCATCACTTCACATTCAATCTCAAAACTCCTAAATGCTCCATCTATTTGCAAATTAAAAGCTTTTATTGCAACATTTGTCCCATCTAAAAGTATTCCTTTGTATACAGAGCCAAAACTTCCTGAACCCAGTAAGTTGTTTTCACTAAATCCATTAGTCCCTTCCAATAGCTGATTGTAGGAAATTCTTCTCCATTTCTCGACAGGAATTAAATCTTCAACAATCGCCAAATTCATATTCCCCTGCTGCTTTTTTTTGTAGACAATTATGACTGCTATAACTATTATTATTGAAGCAAATGTTGGTAAAACATACCTCAAAGCATGTAGAGCGGTCTTCTTGAATTTCCGATGGATTTTATTTTTGCAAGGTGAGACTTGTAGTCTAGGTGAACCACAGAGTGCATAATTTTTCATGAATGATTTGGCCGTGAAGTTTAAAAAGGGACCTCCACTTGGGATTTCCCCTTCTAATCTATTGAAAGACACATTAAAATAATTGAGATCATAAAGTCTTTCCAAAGACTTTGGAATGATTCCAGAGAAATTGTTGTTAGATAAATCCAAACTTTTCAAACTCATCAAGTCACCGAATGATTCAGGAATAGGACCTTGTAATCTATTACTAGCAAGATTCAAAACCTGTAGATCATGAAGACTTCCAATTGTGGGAGGAATATCACTTGATAATAAATTCCTTGACAATTTCAAAGAGATAAGTACCTTCAAATTTCCAATGTCAAGTGGAAGTGAACCGCTAAGATTGTTTGATGACAAGTCTATTTCTAAGATATCTTTAAGGCTCCAAAAAGTTAAAGGTATTGTTGAATGCAATTTGTTGGAGAACAAGTATAGATATCTCAGAGAAGTCAAATCAGAGAAACATGTCGGTAAAGGCCCATCAAGCTCATTGTCACCTAATGATAATTTGTACAATCCCTTCAAACCACAAAGATCATGTGGTATAAAGCCCTGTAACTTATTTCCATAAAGATGCAAAAGTTGGAGATTTTTTAGCCTTCCTATTGTTGTTGGAATAGGTCCACTCAATTTATTAGAGGAAAGGTCTAACAATATAGCGTTACTTAAGCTACCGATTTCCATGGGAATGCTGCCTCTAATTTTGCAATGATTGACCCACAATTGTTGAAGTGATGTGGAAAGATTTGAGATAGAAGTTGGAAGAATGCCATTCAATGGGTTCAATGATAGTTCTAAAATTCTTAGATGCCTGCAATTTGCCAAGGAATTGAGAAAGCTCCACTCATGAGTTGAAGTTTTGGTGGTCAAGTGATTCGACCAAAGGTGCAAGGTCTCAAGGAACCTCAAATTGCCAAGTGCATCTGGAATAAGGCCAAAGAATGAGTTTTGTTCTAATTCTAGGATTCTGAGCTTAGAAACATTAGAGATAGAACCAGGAATATTTCCACTGAGATTATTGCCCCATAAGTAAAGCACCTCAAGATTTGAAGCAGAGCTCATGTATGGTAATTTACCTAAAAAGACAAAAAAAAAGTTTGCATCTTTCCATACAAAAAATAAATTAATTCTTTTGCTTTGTTGTGTTTTTCATGAATCTATGATGCAAGCTGAAGTGAATGCAATGCTTACATCTACAAATGTGAGTGAGGAAGAGCATGAAACAATTATAAATAGGAAACAACTTCAAGGTTTTCTTGTTTGATGATCTGGAATATATATATATATATCTAATTTATAATTTTTTCTTATTTATAATGATTAAAAGGCTCCATACTTTCGTATAATAAAGTACTAAAGAGGAAAAAGAAAAGTAAAAGAAAAAAAGAAGGTACAAGAAAGGAAGGGAGAAAAGAAAATATTATAAGGTTTCTAGTATATGCTTAAAATGTTTTCCATTTATGTGAGAATTTTATTTTCTTTAACTAATCTCAATTGCTTTAATTATAAAAAAGATTAAGGAAAATTTGGATGACAAAATTGTTCACGAAAGAAAAGGAAATAAGATAAAAATGAAGCAAATAAAAAAATATAAGTACATTTACATTAATTTGTTTGAGAAAAGAAAATTCTGAAAGTGTAAATATTTGGAAATAAATTAGAATTTTTATCTGTGCCATTTTAGGAAAAAAGGCTCAAAAGAGAAATGATAAAATTTCTTTCATTTTAGACTATATGCATAATATAAGAGAAAAATACAAAGATTCTCTGAAAAGATTGTTAAAAGTACATGTACTCTCTTTAGTTTGAAAATCACTTTCTTACTTCCCTAAGGTTTGATAGAACCTTACGAGTACTTTAACAGAGGAGTTTCATTTGAGGTTTGTTGGAGTAATACTGTATACATTTTACTACTACAATAAAAAATTATGATGACAAAAAATGTGAAACTAATGAAAAAGATTTTAAAATGATGCTTTTGATTACACAATTATTAGAGGGTGAAAAGCCTTGCCTTAGTCCGATTTAGAGGGTAAGTAAAGGTAAGTCAAAAAGCTCTTCTTGGATACTATGAAGGCCACACAAGAACATTACCTTCGGAGAAAAAAATTTGTTACACTGTTTGTTGATGGAATTTTTCCAGGTTGTAGTGTCTTTAATCTCAAGCAACAATTTGTCAGATGTGGGAGGGTGGTTGATTTTTACGTCTCCAAAAATCAAATTTCTAAATGGTTTGCACTTGAGGTATTCCACTCTATATGTTCAAATGGCAAGGTATGATCAAAGATCTCATGTTAGTTCTAAACCCACCACTCAGTACATAGAAAAAGGTGTTATCTGCATAGAAGACTTTAGAGATGGACGATCTCATGTAGAGGTTGTTAATATGTCAGTCAAATCCTCTCAGTTAAAGGATAACATTGTATCAGATGGTCAAAAAGAAGAGGCTTTAAAATCGCTTGACATCCTTGATTACAATCCTGAAAATTTAGATTTGGAGAGATAACAACGAAATGTTGTTGGGATAGTTAGATATCCTGATACTATAAATGCCATTAACCAAATCTTCTCAGAGGACTTTGATGATTGTTCTGTCCTTATCGTGGGTGAGAATATGAATCTTTTGACTTTGAAAGCAAAGAAAGTATGTTATTATCTCTGGAACTTGGTCAGGAGTGGTCTCAAAATTGGTTCACGTCTATTACACCATGGAAGCCTAGCTATATATGCCATTCAAACCTTATTTGGTTGAGATTGTCAGGTATTCCACTTCACGCTTGGAATTCTAAGTGTTTCTCTTCCATTGGAAGTTTATAGCGTGAGGCTTTTAAGCTTGATGATTTTACACTAACGAAAAAAGGTTTAGATGTAGGTAGAGTCCTGATTTTAACAAATGATTATAGTGCCATTCTTGATGAGATTAAGGTCACTGTGGGTGATATTGTTTACTCCATTAAAGTTGTTGAACATGGATACTTTGAAATTTTCACTAGTCCTCACAGATCATGCAGACCTGGACAACTCAGTTTTCATGGATGGCGGTGAAGATGTTTTCTCTCCTCAAGGCAAAGATTCCCCTAGTAACTCAAAATTTGAAAATGATGGTAATTTTATGGCTTTGGATGTAGATAACACTGTTATTGCAACTGCTGATACACCTAGAGATTCTAAAGAAGCATATGATGTCGATCTTGGAAATGAGACAAATTTGGAACAATTATGGGCATGCAGAGTTAAATACAGATGTTGCAATTAATTCTTCTTTAGAACCTCTTTTGAATAACGATGAAACAGAACAATTAAATCTAAATTGAATCATGTGGTTGATGAGTCCAATCTAGTGGATCAAACTATTGATACTTCTACATCTCTTAGGATATCAAATGGCCCATCAGATACGCTTAGGGATTCTATTGGTGGAAATATCTTAACTGATCTTCGGTCAAATCCAGTTTCTATTGAGCTTATGAGCAAGAGTGATATAGACGCTGAGAAACTTTTCAACGTTGAAGATAAATTTCACCTTGTTACTATTCGAGCAGGTAAAAGAAGGAAAAAAAGTAAGGCAAAATATTGATCCAAAAGCAGGTCTCGCCAGATAAAGACACCTCTAGTTTCCATTGTTCAAGACCACTTTCGGATGAAGATATTGGTTCTCGAAATAGAGCTTTTCTAGAAGAGGCTGAGAAGATTTGGGAAGTTGGTAAATTATTGGGTTTATCCGTAAATGAAGACGATGGTTCCATTATTCAACGTATTGCTGGTTTAGAAAGACAAGATTGGGGGGAGCTTCATCAAGACTGATACAAAAGGGCTTTGTCGATTTAAAGGTTCTAATGAATTTGGTCTTATTTACAAGCTTTATCAATACTACAGTTAAGGAATTTGGCAAAAGGTATTTTTAAAGTTGTGTTTGAAGGATATGATAGTAGATAGGAGGTTAATATTGGGAGTTTTAACGTTTTGTTATTTGAATGCATTTGGGATATGGAAGTGGCTATGGTGGCTGTTAACTGGAGTAAAAAGAATCATCGACCATGAAAGTTGTTGTCTATATTTTCTGAAATTGTGATGCTTTGGAGATCAATTGGGGCATCCAGTTTGATGAAAATTTTTTTAAAAGCTGAATGATATGGTAGATGTCATGGCAAAGGTGGGTGGATAGAGAGATTTTTTTTTTTTTTTGTTCGAGGCATGGTGGTGATTTTGTTCTGTAAGGGATAGTGGTGTTTGCTCTCATTATTTGTTTACCGATCATGGTAGTGTTTTTTTTTTTTTTTTTTTTTTGCTTGGATGTCATGATTTCTTCTTTTTAGGTGGAAGTCTTTCGTTAGAATTGTGCTAGATGTTTTTATGTTGTTTCTGGTATGGC